GCCATGACACCTGGGCCTATAATAGGGTAAAAAAATTGGGATTCGACAAGGGGGCGTGGCACCTCCCATAGGCGTACAAAAAAAAATTTAAAACATGAAAAAATACAGATTTTGCAAGGTTTTCGTTTTATAAACTTCCATAAACATATATTTTTGTTGCTAAACATAATTTTCTGTGTTTCTACCTCGGAATTTAACAGAGTTTTTGCGTTCCAAATGCCTCTGTTAAATTCCCTACTAGAAACGTTTCAATAATGTAAAATTCCTTACTACAATAATTTCTGCTGAGTAGTTTGCACCTTCTCATTGTTATAAGTTCTCTGCTGGCTTCTGCTGGAAAGCGTTTCTTAACCAAAACAACTAGCAGAAATCAGCAGCTGACTCTCGTTCTTACGCTCTTCTTTTTTTTTTGCATCTCCCGCTAGTTTCTGCTGGTAAAATTTTCACTAGCAAATAACAGCAGCTATCAAAACTAACAAACAGCTGTTGAAACGTAAACAAGCGAGTTAAAACGATGTTTCCACGCCAAGTGATTTGCTCTCCCATTCGTAATTCGCTCTCTCATTCGTGATTGGCGCCCCAATTACGAACCGAATCAAGTAATTCGCCATACAAAATTTTGAGACCGCTAGTTTCTGCTGGTAAAATTTTCACTAGCAAATAACAGCAGCTATCAAAACTAACAAACAGCTGTTGAAACGTAAACAAGCGAGTTAAAACGATGTTTCCACGCCAAGTGATTTGCTCTCCCATTCGTAATTCGCTCTCTCATTCGTGATTGGCGCCCCAATTACGAACCGAATCAAGTAATTCGCCATACAAAATTTTGAGACCGCTAGTTTCTGCTGGTAAAATTTTCACTAGCAAATAACAGCAGCTATCAAAACTAACAAACAGCTGTTGAAACGTAAACAAGCGAGTTAAAACGATGTTTCCACGCCAAGTGATTTGCTCTCCCATTCGTAATTCGCTCTCTCATTCGTGATTGGCGCCCCAATTACGAACCGAATCAAGTAATTCGCCATACAAAATTTTGAGACCGCTAGTTTCTGCTGGTAAAATTTTCACTAGCAAATAACAGCAGCTATCAAAACTAACAAACAGCTGTTGAAACGTAAACAAGCGAGTTAAAACGATGTTTCCACGCCAAGTGATTCGCTCTCCCATTCGTAATTCGCTCTCTCATTCGTGATTGGCGCCCCAATTATGAACCGAATCAAGTAATTCGCCATACAAAATTTTGAGAGCGAATCACTTCATTCGTAGGTGATTCAGATCCAATCAACATGCGAATCAAGAACAAATCGTTGTCTTCTCTAATTTTTATCGATAACGGCTGTCAAAACACATAGACCACACACATCCCCACCAGCACAAACATTGAAAAAATAGCTAGATTCGTTAAAACTATTGATTTAGCTAATTAACCACTGCAAATTTTTTCTCCACCGTTGAAATGCATAATAAACAGCACATTAAACATTAAGCAAAAACAAAGAACAAGAAGCAGAGATGCAAAGTGAATCACGAATGTGTCGTTTAAACAGGTTGATTCGCCGTTCATAATTGAGAGAGCGAACCACATGATTCGGTTGTTGTGGAAACGCCGTTTTAAGCACAGTTGCTCTAAATTGTTTCTATCTGCATATTTTTGGTATTTTTTATATAAGAGTGAAGGAATCATTTAATATTTATGAAGTGTTGCAAAATGTAAATATTCGTGAATGCATTTGAAATATAAAATATGATTACAAAAATCAACTGTCAAATACACCGATCAGCTGTTCACTGGCTTGTTTCTGCTAGTTTGCGTCAGTGTTTCCAACTCGTGGGATTTCGCCCATAATTTGGGATTTTCGCACCATAGGAGGGCGCGTGGGATTTCGCGTCTCATTATGGTATTTTTAGCTAAATACAATTTTATGTTTCTTTTTATCCCTTAATTCGGCATTTCAAACTGTTAACATCTGAATTCAAATTTCAGTTGAACACGAAACTAATAAAGTAGCAAACTTAGTTATATGATTTCCACAGAAAATTTTCATTTTCCCCAAGAGTGACGGCTGAGACAACGACGACCCCCACCTCTCTGAGTGGATGGATTCGTTTGCCATTAAGGCAAACTTTATATAAAAATATTTCTTGCATAGCGGATTTTTCGAATGCAGTTAGTATAATGATAAGATCCATTTTATGCTTTTATGGTATTATTATATTTGAAAAAAAAACTTTTAGCTTGTGACGGATGGGACAGTATTTTGTGACTGGTGGATCGAGTCAATGTTGACGACACATAGCATTTTTGCACTTTTTCCCATAAAAGCATGAATTTCATATTAAAGCCGTTTCAAACTTGCACTTCATTACACGAAATTTGTTGGGGATATAAAACCGCATACCCAACAATGTTTTAAAGATTTACACCCAAATTCATAAAAAATAAAGAACATTTTAACTGCTTTTTAAATCGAAAATTTGAAGGCCATTAGATTAAAAAATACTGAAATTTTAACAAAAATTTGTTGAGTTTTCCTGAATTTTGTATGAAGTGTGAATCTGTGTATGATTTCGATTAAACCTCGGACGGTATGTTTATAGAAAAATACCAAAAAAAATTAGCTCGAAAAACATTACGAATATTAAAAAAAAATCAACACGTGGTCATTTGTTTGAGTCATTGTATATATTGTTCTTAAAATCTTTTAATATTCAATATTCATAAATGGGATTTTCGAATTTTAAAATGGTATAAACAGGGCGTTTTTCAAAGGAGAATGGGATTTTCGTACCTTTGGTGTTGGCAACACTGGTTTGCGTGTCTTAACTATTTCTTTATTTCGCTCTCTGTGAGCGTAGTTCCCTCGATTTTTCTATCCTCATTCTTCTTCGTAATTATCTGATAGAAAAGTAAAGAAACAAAACTTTTTTCATGGCCACCATCCGACAAAGAAACACCCGTGCAGGAAATTTAATTAATTTGAAAGTAATATGATAACTAATTCTCACTATTTTACCTGCAACGAAATCATTTATTTAACATCGTAATGTCCTAGGAAGCAGTCAATTGCCTTTTCCTGCATGTATTTTCAACTACTTTAAACTTCAAGTCGTTCTTTAGCCGGTTGCGATAGCAAACAGCCGGAAAAATTTCGATTTAGCCGGCAGCCGATTTGTTAGCCGTTTTGTAGCAAAAAGTTAGCCGATTTTGCTATTTGCCTTGTTTTCTTAAATTTCAAATATGTATATACATGTTTCCATTTTTGACTAAGCGACTCAAAATCTGTTAGAAATGGCTACTAGCCTTATCGTGGAGAAAATTTTCATGTCAGGCAGGGTTGTATGAAATTGGGCCCATTTCGCTTATTTTTAACCGACTTCCAAAAAAGGAGGAGGTTATCAGTTCGTCGGAATATTTTATTTATTTTTTTTATGTATGTTACCGCATAACTTTGCACCACGTCAACCGATTTCAATAATTCTTTTTGCAACGGAAAGGTAGTGTCTCAGAGGTGGTCCCATACTAATTTGGTTTAGATTATTGGATCATGAAATATATAGATATATATATATTTTTTTTAAGTCGGTTTTTTTTTTGCTAAAAACTACTTGTTATTTTAAACGAAGAAGGGATTTTCTTCATAAAATGTTTGTTATAAATGTCTTAATTTTAAGTGTGAAGTTTTATTCGCAAACTCAGAAAATAAGAAATTGTTTCACTGTTAAGACACTTAAGATGCGTTTGTGTTTGGATATAGTGCCAACAAATAGAATAGGTATTATATGTAGATATTGTCTTCCCAGATAGCGCATATTCAATTCTGCCTAAATTACAAAACATAATTTTTGCCCACTCCCAAATTTTTTCCGGCTCGAATTTGTAACATCTCTCCAAGAAATAGTCTTTTTACTCGTGATTTATTTAAATAAAATATGTAAAATTTAGTTGAAAGATTTTAGCCGTTTTTAGCCGGTTTTATTTGCCAATTTAGCCGGTTTGTCCAAAAAGTTCTGGCAACACTGCTGCGATCAATGAGTTAATTGTGATTAAAGGTAACAAAAAACAGCTCAAATAATCATGGCAAAAATTAGCTTCAACCAAACCGCACCTATTGTATGTGTGTATTGCATTTTATAAACCAACCCTGCAGTAAGTCGTGCTAGTTAAGGACCTTCGCAGAACTAGCTCTTTAAGAGGCGGTACTGGTTCTCGATCTATCCCAACGCAGTGCTTTCAATTGTCTCTTTTTAAATGGCGATGTCCTACGAAGTGGAAATTGCCCCCCTCTGCAGAACTTTCGAACTAATTCTGAACTGGTTCCATTTTGAACAGTTCTGGGACAATAAGTTTTTTATGAGAAAAAATTTTAAAACTTGGTTATTGGATATTGTTCGTATTCTCAACTGGTTCTATTTTGGACAGATCTTCGACAATAAGTTTTGTATTTAAAAAAATCTGATTATTAGATTTTTCGATATTTTTTCGTTTTTTCTGTTCTTTTACAGACTGCATTTTATTAATTTTTATTTATTGTTTTATTTTATTTATATTAAATTTGATTATTTTCTCTCGGCACTCAACAATTTAAATTTATTAGATCTAAAAATCACAACTTCCGCCACCGCGATTTGAACTCGCGACTAACAATGTTAGAGTCGGAGGTCTTCCCGCTGAGCTATTTTCGTATTGTACGAGAAGTGAGAATTCGTGCATTTACTTCTCAGCAGCACACCGAAAGTTTCAACTGTCCCTCTCTGCAGCCGTTTCGCACTAGTTCAGAGATAGTTCTGAAGTATGTAGGGCGGAACTATTGCTTTAATAGACTGTCTCTAAATTTTACTCCAGAGAAGCTTAAACCACAAAATTTTAATACACATACAGTGAAAATTTGAAAGGCTCTAAAACATTTCTGTTCGCAATCAATTAATCTTAGCTAGCTAAACTATTGTGGGATACCACTAACTAACAATAAGTCCAATGTCTTTCTATTTTCTTCCCACAGATCCTGAAAGTGACAGCCATCGATCTGGACACCGGTAACAATGCACGCATCACCTATAGTTTGGTTAACAGTGTAAACACCACTTTAAGTTTCACCTCAGCTCGTAAACTACCAACACCAACCTTACTGCATCTCAGTGGCGGTGGCTTTACTACTTCCAAACAAAGTATTTCTGCCGAGGAAGCGCAAGTGGCAAACCTCTTTGGCATTTTTCCCAACAGCGGTTGGTTGTATCTGCGTGGCACATTGGACCGAGAATCGCGCGATCGTTATGAGCTCATTATTATGGCAAGCGATAATGGTACACCAGCTGCGCATGCACGAGCACGTGTCACTGTTGAAGTGTTAGACACTAATGACAATGACCCGCGCTTCTTGAGCAGCGCATACGAATTCTCCATCGAAGAAAATATGCACCGCGGTGCCCTGGTGGGCGTGGTAGCTGCCACCGACTTAGACTTGTATGAGAATGCTGAGATTCTCTATACGTTGATACCATCTAACACGAGCTTCCAAGTAAATCCCAATACAGGTGAGTAAACGAAACTTAAGTACATAAAAATCCAACCGTTTGATGTTGTAAAATGGCTACAATTTTCTGGGGAAATGCAAATGAAGCCAAGTCCTTCTCCAGCTGCTCTTTCCATCGCTTCCACGAATATATCCTCTACTTCCACTAATATTTATTTTAATTCGCTTCACTATTTAAATTTCGTAGTAAAGCGCATGCAGCTCATCGTTCTATCGTTTGCGTTATCCGCCGTCGCCAACTGGCAGAGGCCAGTAAATCTACCGCAGAATCTTTCTCGCGAATACTCCAAGGGTCGACTCATCAGATGTTACCATATAACATAGTCGCGATTATACTTCACGCAACGCATACCTATATTCCCAACAACAACTACACGAATTTTCGCCCCTATCGCTTACACTGCTTAATTGAGTGTCACTTTTACGAAGAAATCAAAATAACAGACTCCTATGTGATGCTATGTTGATTAACCGCTTACACACAAAGCTCTTGTAACATATTCCTTTTGTGACAACTCTAAAGGTCTGATTATGCATACTTCGCATAACTTCGCACAACCATTTGTACCAGTGCATTAAAATGTAACTAAAGAAAATGTGAAGCGAAATCTAAACTAAACAGATCGCTAAGTTTTTAAAAGTTGTGCTAGTTTCTGGGCAATACTTGCAAAATACAAAGTACATACGAAATTATAGTTCGAAGTTTATGCGAAGTTGTGCGAAGTTATGCGAAGTATGCATAATCAGACCATAAGCATGTATAACTGAGCCCTTAAGCGCTGGTTATGCTTACATATCAGTGCTGGGTGTAACATGAGAAGTGATAGAACTTTTGAGAAAGGTATCGATACTACATAGTACTCATATAGAATACTCTAAAGAAAAACTATTTAAGTACTGATATTTGCAAAAAACTATCGATTCTGCCCGTAATTCCAATTATTTTTAAAACAAACGTGAGGAGTAAATTAAAATCAGATTGTTTTGCTTTAATGACCACTTTCTACTTGGAATTGAATATACACTGCTTTTACAAGTTCAAAACCGACCCAAAAATTTCTGTAGATATTTTTTTCAAATATAAATATTTCTAGCAATATTACTTATATTATTATTTAAAATAAATGTTTACAGCAAAAAGCTTATTTAACGTATTTAATAGCAAATGCCTTACATATGTATAAGCCTTGAGCGCGTATATTTACTTATGTGTAAATATTAGAAATGAAATGCAAGCGTTCCAATCTATATATATAATATCTACAGACAGGGGTGAACGCAGATTTTTATTTTGGGGGGGTTGGGGGGCCGGTGTTTAAAAACTTTATTTTTTTCATATAATCAGTTCCATCAAATATGCCTAAATTTTTTTTTTTTTTTTTATAAATACGAGTGCTGACATATATACATACATATATAGGAAAAATTGGAAATAACATTTCTCTACAGCTTCTTCTTTAAAGGAAACAAGTAAAGAAGTATAAGTTCGGGCGAAACCTAATATTATATAACCGCCGCGCCGCGGCGTAGGTATCAAATATCGTCGACTTTCTCTAAACTACAGTTGCATGATCAGCAGGGGGGTTTTCCCGATTTCAAACTTTTTCGATAATATGCTGACTTAGACTTAATGAAATAATTTAACCAAGTTTGGTATAAATCTATATATAAATGTACATTGTAGTAATAAAGTGGGCGGTGCTACGCCCAATTTCTAAAAGTCTATAGTAGTCTTATTTATTGTATTAGAATGTAAGGGAATGCAAGGTCATACTCACCAAAGTTCACTGCCCTGTAAGCCGTTTGACAGGCGAAGTAGAGGACCGTACACAAATCGAAATAGCAGCTTCATTGCCAAAAGAATATGCAGAAGCAATGGTATATTTTGATCACTTGACTTTGATATTATTCAATAGGCCTTTTTTTATAATGTACAGAAAATATATTTGTACCAAATTAAAGGCAGAAGCGGAACTGTCTTACGTAAACTTATGGCCGATGAACTTTTGATTCTATTCAACTTGGATGGGAGAAAAAATAAAAAGGCATTAATTAAGCTTATGCTGGTTGATTAATTGTTATTCGGTATGTTGCTCTTGTGAAATGTTTATTCCAGAGACCGAAAATAATCGTTATTATGAAAGATTTGTACTTTAAAATCATTGCGGAATCGGTATTCTCTGATTTATATTTTAACGATCAAAAATAAACCTTATTGTTGGATTTATATTTTTCCGATCATTTTTATTCGTTATTTTATTATTTTTATTTTTTCGGTCATATAATTAAATATGATATAATACGATGATATAATATGATACAAAACGATTAAATTGTGATTTTTATTATAAAAATCATAATGGTTATGGTTTACTTTCAGTTTTATATATATTTAAAATTGGCTTTTTGTTGATGTCTCACTTTTTATGTATTTTGCTTAATAGTTTGCAGAGATATACAAAGTACTATATTTATACGTATGAGAGCTGAGGGCAGAAGTGGCCTAACCCATTATTTTTGTGTACTTCCCTACTTAAAGTAGTTTCAAACGTGGTAAATTTTAAAATAAAAGTCGCTTATTCCTTAATTTTAAAGTACAGAGCTATATAACTTACCATCAAATTACGGAATAAGCGACCTTTACTTTAAAACACACTGGAAACAATTTTAAGAAGTTAAGTACAAAAAAAAATTGTGGGTTAGGCTACTTCTGCTATCATGGCCTCATATGTAATTCTTAGATTTCCTTACGTTCCTCTCTTTCAGAAGTTTTTAAAGCTGAAGGTCGACTTAGCTTCGACAAACTTTTAAGAAAGTCTGTTGAGCTAAGTCATAACCGGTACCGCCAGAAGAAACTCATGAAATCAAGTAGAAACGAGGTGGAAGCAAGTTCCCAAATAAGTTTTTAAATCGTGATTACCATACTGGTCAAAAGTGGGATTACCGTTTTGAAAATTAATTTTCAATTTTAAATATTATAAACAAGACTCAAAAGAAGTAAATGAATTTGCGCACTTTTTATGTTATACTATTTGTTATATGTTATATTATTTGCCTAAAAATGTATGCTTAGCTAAATACTTTATTTAAGTAAAGCAGGGATCACACGATTTGTACATTAGTACAGATTTGTACATTTTGGTAGTTGCAGAGTGGGGTTGTTTGGGCTTTTTTTTTATTGAGCTGGGCCCATCTCGGTAAAAACTTCTAGACAAACCACTCTGTGACCGCCAAAATCTACAAGTCTGTACAAATATACAAATCGTGTAATCTCTGCTTAAAGAGTTTATAGAATTGAAGTGGATTAAGCTTTATGTTTTGTATTAATTTTATAAAAATTTTAAACGTAAATTTTCAGAGATTCATACATATGTATAGTACTTAGATTCAATGAAATTTCAATATTGAAATAAATATCTGCTAAAAATTTTGTTATTTATAAAGTGAAAATAACGGGTATGTACAGTGGCGTAACTTTACCATCTGAGGCCCGTGGGAAATTCTTTGGATGAGGCCCTCCCAGTAAAAATCGTCACGATGACGATGTTTTGTTAAAACCCTGTTGTTTAAAAAACAAAAGGAAACTAAATGTTATATATATTAAACTTATAAATTTGATGTTTGAACTTAATAATAAAATTCATAAAAACTCAAAACTATTGTTTGTTCAATATATTTCGCACACGCTTCTATTTTATGTATTATATATATGTGCCGCTGTGGTGTAGTGGTAAGCAGTGCGCGCGTCCACTCCGCAGGGCCTGGGTTCAAGCCCTGGTCAAAGCAACATAGCAAAAAATTTAGAAAACAGGTTTTTTGATTAACAGTAGTCGTCCCTCGGCGGGCAATGGCAAACCTCCAAGTGTATTTCTGCCATGAAAAACAGCTTCTCATAAAAATACAACAGCCGTTCGGAGTCGGCGTAAAACTGTAGCTTTCTCCCCTTTGTGTGACAACATCAAGGCGCACGTCACAAATCGGAGGAGAAGCTCGACCAAACACTTACATATGTGTAAGCGCCAATCTATTACTAAGTGTATGAAAAAAGAACTAAATTTTCTGTTGCACTTCACAAATGAGATCAAGATAAGGCAAAAATGAACAAATTGTATTCGTAAAAGCTTTTTCTACGATGTTGCTTTGACCAGGGCTTGAACCAAGGCCCTGGCGAGTGGAAGCGCGAGCTGCTTACCACTACTCCACAGCGGCTGCCGACCGCAGTCATACCACTCAGTAAAGAAAAAATTAGTAAAATGAAAGTAGTAGTCGTCGAATCTACGAACATCTATAGTCTAGGGTTAATAAACCACTTAACAATAATGTGTGCATTTTAGTTAAATATCTAATAAATTTTATTTTCAAGAGCACACATATTTATAATGAAATAACAATTTAATTTTGATATCATATTTATTAATAAAATTCTTTTCTCCGAGCTTTTTGTTCCACAAAATATTCTATAACATCATCAATGTTTAAAGATAGAGCCAAAACATTTTCAATATACAGAATAGTGAAGTTACGTAGCCTGACTTGTCCCATAGAGTTTCTCAAGTAGGTTTTTATCAATTTTAGTTTCGAAAATGATCGGTCAGCACTAGCACAGGAATTGCAACAGATAACAATGCAGTACATAATTTAGGAAATCAGGACGACATAAAAAAAAGTATATGTAATTATATGGCCAAATTTTGGGAACGAGGAACGAGTGAAGAAAAATATTTCTTTGACTCACCCGTCAACTCTTGACATCATTTGTTAATATACATCTTAAAGCATCTAGAAACCAGTGCCAATTGACATCCAATGTGTGCGGTGCGCGTTCATTTCTCTTGTGCCTCGCATGCGATCAAAATGGAGAATATAGTCTAGTAATAAGTAGGCAACGTTAAAGGCCACATATTTCGGCGTTCCCACGACAGTCGAGTCTACGTGACCGGAACGACCCAGATTTATATCTGGCCAAGGACTGTCACTCCAGCAACACTGCCCAAAAACTCT